GCAGGTGCCCGAACCTGGGACCTCGCACATTGACCAGCCCCAAAACCTGAGACTCGCGCCCTTGGCCTGATTAAACAGCGAAAAATGCTTTCATAAAAATCACAGTCAATTGGGAAGGCGCCAGGTGCTTCCATTGCGCCAGCGTGGGCCTGCGGCCTAAGATTTGAGTGAACAGGGTGCTGATATCAACTCCCAACAATAAACATGCACTGAGCCCCGCCGATGAAGCAAAAGCAAAACTAATGGTTCAACCCGGGTTCGAACCGGAGACCTCCCGTGTACATGAGCTGTGAGACGGACGTGATAACCAACTACACCATTGAACCTTCAGTCAGTTGCCGAAGTTAAACATCTATGTACTCACCGATTTGATGAATTGGATGGGAACCTCAATACACAGTGTTCTAAGCTTGATGTTAGCTGTCGGCACGCGAGCAGTCGTCCCCAGGCAGACCCCACAGAAGACATCCTTGTAGGTGGGTTCGGCGATCTTCTGAAGTAGGATGCGGTTAATCGTTATTGCCTTACTGCCAACGCGCTACTAGTACCCAAGACCCGGGGCGAGTGAGAGCAAACGAAACAAGGTTTGCCGGGGACCCTTGCTGAATTCGAGTCCTGCACGACATATGCCAGTCTCACGACCGCAGATCTCTTCGGCGACTCTCTCTTCGGCAAAGGGAACGATCGGTTCCTGGCAGAAAACAGGGGGGCTTCATAAACATCAACCCGGAGGCAGTAAGACCTAACGGCGTTCTCTCTGCAGAAGGTCAGTATATACTTCTGGATCCTCGTCTTTCCTCGCATGTGGATGTTGCCGTACTCGACTCCGGCAACTGCCCCATCCAATGGACCTGGATGGCGACGATCTGCCAATAAAACTCGTACGCCAGGCAGTCAATCGCATATTGAGTTTTACGGCGATGTACGGGGAAGACAAGTACGCCGGAAAGAAGCGTGCAAGGGATGCAGATCCGGACACGGATGTGATCTCATTGGGGGTGGTATAGTCTTATTTGAAAGATCATAGCTTGAGCCGGCCATCTAAGGGAAGCTCGCCGACTTATGCTCAAAACCATACGTGCTCATGCGACAACGCGGAACATTAATTGTACACTTACAATTTCAATGATCCAGGGAAGCATGAACGATGGGCTAGACTTACCTCAACTTGGAACAACTGCGAAACGAAAGAGGACACCCGCGCTCAGGGTAGTCACACGGCAGGATTCCGAACAGTCGCACGAGTTTCTTCAAAGGATCTGCGTAGATCCCGCCGCATCGTGGCGCTAGGCTCTACAGTGGGGGCCATGATCTAGCTTCGCTGTCACGCTGACTCCCGAAGCAACGTAACTCGCAGACCCCGCCGCACATAGGGGAACCGCCGGCTGCCAGCCATGTTCACGGGCATCGCGTCGCGTCGCAAGAGAACGGGAGTAGCACTAGTGCCGGTCCGAGGCTTGACGATATCGCTGCAAGCTAAAGGGGGATAGGCGACATCATGTCTGGTTGAACGGATCAAGCACAGAGCAAGGAACGTCCCCATAGCACGCTCGGATGAATCGAGCTACTGCATCGACACCATATCGGGTACGCGATATCTCCGCTTTGTAAGCAGACTAGCATAACTTTCCTACTTGTAGACACTTCGCCACAGTCCTCGGAAGCTCTTCCCCGTGCGCTCCGCAGTATGGACCGTTGTCCATTCCATTGAAGTCCTTTGAGTCTCACGAGGTATGTGCACGACTGTTAGCACTGTCAATACATGTCTTCGCCCCTTAATTGCGCGATGGCCGTAGTTGACTACGTAGGCGATCCCCGGGCCCGTGTCACTATCCCTCGCTCTGGAAGTGCTCTGCGCTCCAGAATTAAGTGACACATGCCGGCATGAGGACGATGTGCTATATCAGTGCTTCGTTCTGTGTCCAGGATCCCTGAGTGTCACTGCCGAGGACCACAGTCAACGAACTGAGAGACGACGTCTTGGCAGTGACCTCCGGACTACCCACCCATGTAATTATTCAAAAAGATCATTCTGCAGTAATCCCTATTCCGTATGGAGGTAGCAAATGTAGCAATATCTTAAATGAGCTGTCATGGACTGGACGGGAAGCGCTTGGCAGCATTGAGCCTGGGTCTGGTGTACGAGGGAAGGGAATGTGCCAAGGTAAGTCTCCGGCACTCACTCAGCACCTTTCTCAGTCGCCGTTGCCTTACTGGCGTACGCGTATTTCTGATAGATTATAACAGGACACTTTTACTCACGGCAGCGGTCATCACAAGCGGTATCTTGAGATTCAGGCGGTAGGATTACAAGGCACCGCTCACTGCAGTCCCCCCGGTGATGGCGTAAGCCCGTTCTGGTTTGCCTGGAAGCGTTCTATCTGCCTGACATGTCCGTTCTCAACCTCATCACTCGGCATTTGATCTCCCCCTTCCGGCGCCATTACTGCTGGTGGGTGGTGCGGTCCCAGCGTTCAGTGTATGATCACGATTTGCGCACAACGGGACATCAAGCCGAGGTCACCAGCGCGGGGACATGCCTTCTCCATGGAAAGCATATGTGGGCATCCTTGCGTACGTTTGCAAATTCTGTTTTCCCTCCAGGCTGCGGAACGAATATATGTAGCTGGAAGACATGCTCCATGATTCGCCCCTCTTCCCTTGCAGTGATTTCAGGCAGCTATGTCTCTTATTGCCCCAGACTACTGTTCGGTAGACGTTCGAGTCTCCCAGCCAAAGCAAAATCTCCCCTCTCCAGTCCTTATCCTGTCGAGCCCTCGTCAATGGCTGACATCCTTCGGTATGTTCCGCACCCTCTATTGTCAATCCTGTGAGTCTGACATAGTCGTCACGGTCGATAGCCCGAACGTGGATTCTCAGCATCCTCCAGAATGCGGTCACAGTGGGATGCATCGAAATTGAGGAAGACGGTAAGGTCGCAGCCTTTGGGCAGCCCGGCGACGAACCCGGCACCGTCCGCATAACCGTCGTGGACGACTCCTTCTGGACTCGAGTCCTACTGTAAGCTTCACAGTCAACCTCAGCCCGTGAGGGCAGCTCTCACACCCTTTATGTCATGGTAAAGATCCGGGAACCTCGGGTGTAAGTCGTATCTACCACGTCAGTCGATACGCCCACTGATGCGCGGGCCAGTTAGCGAGGCTTTCATGATGGGAGAGGTCAAGGTTGACGACCTCCAGGCGGTCATAGAAGTGGGTCCCCTTGCAACGGCAGCGCCTGCATAATTTATAGGGTTACCCCCTTGTAGCTATTCATCGACAACTTATCCGGCCTCTCGAACATCTCATGGTTATACAACAAGACCATCGCCGCCGCTTCGGGGCTGTGGAATGCCTTTGCCGGACAAACACATTCTCGTGCGCGTCTGAATGTGGTAGCAAGTTACGACCTGTCCAACGAGATGTACAAGGTAAATACATTCTTAAATAATCGACGCAATCGCTCACATTATTTCCCGCCTTGTCCTGAAGGCTTTCTTGAGCAAGGAAATGATGTATTCGTGCGCGTTGTGGAGCGAAGAGGAAGGCGGCGTCCGCGGCGACCTGGTGTCGGGCCCCACCCCCGGCGATCTGGAGGCAGCCCAGCGGCGCAAGAACGAACACGTCCTCCGCCAGCTGCGCCTCCGCCCGGGACACCGGCTGCTCGAGTTCGGAACAGGCTGGGGCGCGCTCGCGATAGAGGTGAGCGGAGAACGCGCCGTATCTTCTGCATCTCCTGGGACGAGATCACTGAGGGTGTTCCGCCGCATCAGGCCGCGCGGACGTACGGCTGCGCGGTGGATACGCTCACACTGTCAGTGGAGCAGAAGACGCTTGCGGAGGAGCGGATTAGGGAGGCCGGCCTGGAGGACCGCGTCTGCGTGCACCTGCTCGACTACAGGGACCTCCCGCCGCACTTCGAGCACGCCTTCGACGCCTTCGTTAGCCTCGAGATGGTTGAGCATGTCGGGCCCAAGGTGAGGCGCGCCTAGTAGGCGTGCTCAGAGCGGATCCGAGATGCTGACGGCCTCGCCGTCGCAGTACTACAACACATTTTTCCGCCTCATCGACTTCGCCTTGAAGAAGCGCGGCGCCACCGCGGTCGTGAGCTCGAGCACGTTCCCTGAGCACCGCTACAGCGAATACCAGTACGCCATCTCTCCAGACTGCCGGAGGGGGGGGGGACGCGATGCTCACGCGCCCGCACAGGGCCGAGGACTTCATGCGACGGTACATCTGGCCCAACTCGGCGCTTCCGAGCGCGTCCGCCCTGGTCGATGCGGCATACAAGGCGACGCGCGGCCAGCTGAAGCTGCACACCGTCGAGAACCACTCCGCGCGTAAGCACTGCACTCGTGGCACCTCCGTGACGTCGGAGCCGCTCATCCGTTGAGTCTGCAGACTACCCCCGCACGCTGCGGACGTGGGGCCGCCGGTTCAAGAGCAACGTGCGGCAGGACGCCGTCGCGGCGACGCACCCCGCGCTGCACGATCCGGTCGAGTTCGCGGTGTTCGCACGCAAGTGGGAGTACCTGTTCGCGTATGCGGGCGCGGGCTTCGTCAAAGGCTATATTAGCTGTCACATGCTGATCTTCACTCGAGAGGTGCGCCATTTGGGAATCGTCGAGGCGCGCTCGTGTCTGATGCACCGTGATGGGCGAATGGACAGGGCGACGCACCGAACTCGTGAGCTGGGCGTCCGTACATGACGGAGACGGTTCCGCGGATAGGACGCGTATGATGAGACAATGCACATCTCGTAGCGATCAGTTCGAAGCCCATGTACAGTATCATACACCGACGGTCGGAAATGCTGGTAACTTGCAGTTGTGACCTATGCCGCCAGCTCGTGAGCGCATTCCCACTGTCGCACTAGAACAACTACAGACAACAACTCCACGCTCCCTCGCGCTCGAACCAGACCTGGCCCTCGGGGAGAATGATGGTCTTGAGCGTGGGGCAGTGCTTGTGCCACTCCTTAGCGATCTCGGGGTCGTCGGAGACGGTCGACCCTAGGCCGCTCATGACGGTGAGATAGCGGAGATTCTTGAAGTTTGACAGCGCCGGCCCTGCTTCCAAGAGACTTTCCTATGAGGGGATATGAACAAGAGCGTGATGAGATCGTGCCGCATGACATGACACGGGACATCGACATACGTAGGAGTAGTGCGATAGGAGGACAACGATATGCAGTGCCTCCAGCTCGGTGACCCGGGCGGACACCTCGTGCAGGAGCTTCGTGGCCGGCAGCTCGTCGAGGGCCATCAGCGTGAGCCGTTTGAGTGGCACGCTCGGTAAACGGAGGGTGTCCAGCGGGTCGAAGCCCT